TGGCCAATTTTCCATAATCTGCATGCTTTTCTTTTGCATTTGAGGCATCCTAGAACAGGGGCAGGCAATTATTTTGGGTGGAGGGCTGCTTACCCAGTTCTGGCAGGCTGTCGAGAGCCGAATGGGTAACCCTGCCCCTTGACAGGTGCCCCACTCCCTGGTCACCATCTTGGAACCAATGTCCCAATGTCTTGGGACCAATGTCCCAGGGCAAGCACTGGTGGGGCCTAAAGTGGGGCGCAGGCTGGCAGGGATCTGTAGAGTTGGGCTGGGCTGCACTGGAAGGGAGAGGGGGGAGCTGGCCCGGCTCCATAGAACCCCTGCCAGCTGGGACCCCATGCTCCTGCCACCCTGCTCTGGGCCCCAACAGCACTGGCCCCAGGACACTGATGTGGGCCCCATGCTCCTGCTGCCTCCCCGCCCACTCACTCCCAGTGCCCCCCAGCCCCACGGTACAGGCAGGGACACAGCCCCAACCCCCTGCTCACTGGCAGGGACGAAGCTGGTGCTGAGCATGAGGAAAAGTGGCCCCTCACCTGCTCCATGGCCAGCACTCCCTGCTGCAGGTGCTCACAGCCCATGCAGGGCTGTCTGGAACAAGCACAGGCAGCCCCATGTGAGTTCCAAGTGGCTACAGCGCAGGGCGCTGGCCACGGGGCGAGCGAGGAGACGCTTCCCTGTGCTCAGCACCAGCTTGTAACCCACCCCACTGCCAGCCTGGGCTCTCTGCCAGCTCCAGGCTTGCCCGTTGGTGGCAGCAGCTGTGGCCCCCCTGCTTGCTGTGCCGGGCAGTGTTGGCTGCTCCTGCCCACCCGGAACTCATGCACTGGGCAGCCCACAGGCGGCAGTGGCAAACACTGCCCGGTGTGGCAAGCGGGGGGGCCGCAGCTGCTGTTGCCATGTGCAGCCCCAACGGGCAAGCCTGGAACTGGTGCGGGGCCAAGGCTGGCAGTGGAGCTGAGTTACAAGGTGGTGCTGAGCGCGGGGATGGGGAAAGCGGCCCCTTCCCACCCCATGCCTAGCGCCTCACACTACAGCCACTCGCAGCCCGCCTGGGGCTGCCTGTGCCTGCTTAGGACAGCCCCGCATGGGCTGTGAGTGGCTGCAGCAGGGAGCGCTGGCCATGGGACGGGGGAGGGGCTGCCTTTCTCCACGTTGGGAAGGAGCAGGGAAGAAGTTCAGGGAAAAACTGAGCACAGGGGGGAGGGGGAAGTGGCCCCTCACCCATCCCATGGCCAATGCTCCCTGCTGCAGCTGCTCACAGTCCACATGGGGTTGTCCAGAGGAGGCGCAGGCAGCCCCATGCAGGCTGCAAGCGGCTGCAGCACGGGGTGCCAACCACAGGGCAGGAGAGGGGCTGCTTTTCCCTCCCCCCACATTCCTTCCCTGGCCAGGGTCCCCCCGGTCCTTCTTCCCCTCCTCCCTTACCTGAGGTTCCTGCACAGGGAAGCCATGTGCTCCCAGGCCAGAAGCCCCAGCTGGGGCTTCTGGCTGGGGGGGGGGACGGGGCTGGGTGGGCCCTGATGTTCTGGGATCCCTCCAGGCTTCCCCTGGGTGCTACTGTCCTTGGTTCCTGTCATTTTTGACAGGAACCAAGGGCAGATAAATATTAATTTTTTCTACATTTTTAGGGGCCCTGTGGGCTGGATAGAATGGCCTCACAGGCCACATCCAGCCCACAGGCCGTATTTTGCCCACCCTTGCCTTAATTGTATCTTCTACGTTCTGGAATAGAAACTTGTCCTCCACACAAGTTAGGAACCAGCTTGACATTTATGTTTGACTGTATTGTTGTTCCAGCAGATGCCCAGATTAGTTGTGTTCCATCAGTACTATCCCATATTTTTTGGATAGATTTATCACTTGCTTGAACAGTGCCTCATTCCTGATTTCATGGCCTGTGGGATATGATAGGAATCACAAAAATCATGTTATTCATCACAACCCAAAATGGTAGAACTAGGGGTCACCTACTGAAATTCACAGGAGACAGGTTTAAAATTAGCAAGAGAAAATACTTTTTTAATGCAGCACTGAGTTAACATGTGGAACTCTACAAGAGGTTGTAGAGGTAGACAATAAAGCCAAGTGCAAAAAAGGGACTAGGCAAATTCATGGATGATAGTTCTATTAATAGTCATTAAACAGAACGGCTGGAGATATATCCTCTGGCATTTCTAAACCAATGCAGGATATCAGGGAGGTTGCTGAAAGAGGATAGATCACTCTAGACATCCAGTCTGTTGCTCTTGCTGTATAGCATCCCCTCCTGCCACTGTTGGAGATGGTACTGAATTAGATGGACCATTGATCTTACTAGGCTAACACTTCGTATATCCTTACGTCCATTTGCTTCCAGGGCATCCCCTATATCTGTATGTTTTTTTCAGGGGCCTGTGCATTTTAGGTTGATTCAAAAACCATGCTTGACCTTATGGGCACGTCTTTCACATGCAGGGGTACAAATTTGTGCAGCTACTTTTTGCTGCTCTGTATGCCCCTGCATGTGTGCTTTGGTGCAGGGCAAAATGACCCATTTCAGAGAAACTGCTATTTCCCCACTCCTCCCAGCATACAGGAGGAGCTGGAGCAGAACTAAAGGAGGGAAGATACTATGGCCAGTAGCCAGAGTGTCTCCTAGGAGGACCAAGCCTCTGTGTCTGTTGGCGCATGCTCCTGTGATGTGTGTCGTGTCACTTTTTTTGTGGTTTTATTTGCTACTAGGATTTCCCGGTAGCAAATTTTGCCCCCACACTGCAAATCTGCAGTGTGGACACATTTTAATATGGTGGGCATATTTGTGGTGCCACAAAATGGTGTGCGGTGCCACAAACCACATGTACCTGCATATCTGGATCCAGCCTACGTGTCTGTCTATATTGCCTTCATGCTGTATCTGTGACTGCAACACAAATGCCGGCTTTTACCACTCATTCCTCTTCAGGGTGTGAACACACAAGTGCTTGGAGCCCTTTTAGAAAGAGAACATTTCAAAAGGGCAACAGCTGGTTGCATTAAAATTAAAATGCAACAAAACCCCTCCAACTTTAATACTTCTTCATTCAGGGTTAAAGTTGGAGCAGGTTTGCTGCATTTGATTTGTTTTCAGCTTGTTCATAAATAGCAGTTAGAATGTACCAGCTGCTGCCCTTTTGAAATTTTCCCCTTTCGAAAGGGCTTCAAAGGTCATGTGTCCACACAATCAGTGTGTGCCAAGTCCCAGATAAGGCAGTATAGCCACCTTAGAGAAGCCCTGATACCAAATTCCAGTCATGCTGTCTTGTGCACGTGCTTTTTGGGATATACTCAGGGCTTCTCTAAGATAGATACAGGATTTGGCATATAGGTTAGGGACAGAAGTTACACATAAACTGGCTTAAGTGATCAGAAACAGGTTTAAACCTGTAACAGAACAGAAGTTTAGTGCACTTAAACCACTTTCAAAATGCTGAAACTGGTTTAAGATAACTGGTTTAGTATCAGACTTAACTGATTTAGGTCAAACTGGTTTATGGAACTTCTGTCCCAGAACCCTTCCTGGTTCAAGTTAACTCACAGTCCTCATCATCCTAGGATGCTTTGCAGCACTGGGATATGCTGTCTGCTCCAGCAGAGCAGGGTCTTCCCTGCCCTTCTGCTCCCTAGCCAGAACACTAGCACTCCTCTGGCTGGCTGAGAGGGTGAGTGGGAAAACCCACCCTTTTGGCTCAGCACTGGACCCCCAGCCAGGTGCAGTCTGGTGTAGGGGGGAAAGAGGGGGATCTTGGCTCCACCCCTGGGAGCCCAGAGCCAGGAGCAGGGCTGGAGTCTCCCAGTCATGCCCCCCTCCTCAGTCCCTGGCCCACCTGAGAGGAGCACAGGGGAAGTCTGCACCAGGGCTTGGCTCTGCCCCCTGAAGTCAGGAGTGTGGCTGGAGTCCCCCAGCTATGCCCAGCCCCCTCAGTCTGAGGCCCAGAGACGGAGGAGGAGGTGTGGCTTGGGGACTTCAGCCATACTCCTGGCTCCTGCTCCAGGGGGTGGAGCCAAGTCCTGGTATAGGCTTCCCCTTCCCCCCCACTCCCTGCAACCAGCCAGAGACTGAGGAGGGGGCATGGCACGGGACTCCAGCTACACTCCTGGCTCTCAGCTCTGGGGGACAGAGCCAGGCTCTGCTGTAGGCTTCACCCCCTTCAGCTGGCCTGGAGACAGAGGAAGGGATGTGGCTGGGGAACTTCAGCCTCACTCTTGTCTGCAGGGGGCAGAGTCAAACCCCAGTGTGGGCTTGCCCTGCCTGGCACCATCAGCTGGCTGGGAGACAGAGGGTGGGGTATGGCTGGGGGACTCCAGCACCACTCTCAGCTTCAGATGGGTGGAGGAAAGCCTCAGGTGTGGCACTGCCATGCCGGGCTGTTCCCATCTGGGGGTCTGGTGCTGGGCTGGAGGGATGGGTTTTTCCTCCCCACCCCTTCCTCAGCCAGCCCAGAAACTGAGGTAGGGGTGTGGCTGTGGGAACTGCTTGGCTCACAGCTCTCTGCAGTGGCCAGCAGGCTGTGTGGTATGCTCTAGCACCCCACGGCTATTGGTATGGGCCACTGCTGTAGTCTGGCTGTCTTTCCTGTTTGAAAAGCGAACATCAGTTCAATCTATGCAGTTTAGAGAAACCTGCAAAGATTGAATTGATTCAGCTTTGGGATTTTTGACTATTTATACTTAGCCATACTGAGCGGAGGTGGGTGCATAAGGACTTCTCTGATGTGGTCCCACTTGTGGAGATGGTGTAGACAGTCCCTAAAAAGAATCATTCTCTGAGATTACTGGATTTTCTGGACTTTAATTTTTTTCCTATGTGTGTTACTATGAAAGAGGATATTCTCAACTATGTTAAGTGTGACTAAAGACTATGGCATAACTGAATTAGGCAGCATATATTAGAAAATGTGATAAAACTGACTACTTCAGTCAAAAAGAGTTCTGTGTTTTCCACGTTTCATTATTTGTTTGGATGTAACTTTGTTTTTTAGTGACGTCTCCAAGATCAATGAGGGAATAGGAGACAAAATTGGAATGTTTTTTCAAGCAATATCTACATTTCTCACAGGATTTATAGTTGGTTTCACAAAAGGGTGGAAATTAACACTTGTGATACTGGCACTCAGTCCTGTTCTTGGATTCTCATCTGCTCTCTGGGCAAAGGTAGGTGAAAATTGAATTATCATTCATGTGTGAAATTAGATATATAGTTCTCCATCTCATGATAGGGCAGCTTTTAAATACACTGTGGACACATCTACATGTGTTATTAATGTATAGCAATAAACTCTGACTCATATCTCACCATAGTTTATTGAACCTAGGCAATGCATTTGTGTGTGCACCTGGGACCACAGCACATTGAGCTGAGTTGGAGCAGCTCCAGCTGTCAGGGAGTCTGGGAGTAGCCTGCCAGCCTGGGGCTACTCCAACTCAGCTCAACATGCTGCAGAGGGGTTTACTGGGGTACAAGGGTGCTCTAGTGCAGGACTTACCAGTATGCAGCCACTGTACTGAAGCACCCTCATGCCCCAGCCAGCTGGGGCTGCATCTACACATGTGCTGTTGTGCACGAAAAAACTCACCAGCAGGGTAGTACTTGTATTTACAAGTACTAACCTGCTATGCAGTTTATTCATTTCCTGCGGCTTAATAGGACCACAAGTGTAGATGCTAAATTGTTTACTGTAGAGCTAATTAGGCAACTCCACAGTAAACTTCTCATGTAGATGTGCCCTGTAACACTCAGTGAGGGAATTAATTCCTGTGAGTGATTAAGGTTCATAGTTTATGTCTTTTTTTATAAACAGATATAAGACATATAGTAGTATAGTTATAGTGTTACAGCGCCCTTAGTGTGGACACAATTATAGCAACATAAAAGTGCTTATAGTGGCATACCATATACCCCATAAAGATAGATCATTATACTATGCCAGTATAAGGTATTTTTATACCTGTATAAGTATGTCCACCCTAGGTGTTGGGTTGATATAATTATAAACTCATTGAAATAACTACACTGATACAAAAGGTGAGAGTAAACCAGACTAATCTCTGAAATAAACTTTTTTTACAGCATTGTTACTGATTTTGGCTGGAATTTTCAAAGGTGCAAAAGAGAGTAAAGCATTTTACTGGCATTGTATTTCAGTGGGTCTTGAATGCCTCACTCCCTTTGAATATTTTTAAAATCCCAACCATAGATAATATTTTATTTCCTTTTATAGTCTAACAGATTTGTAGAATTCTGCTGTGGTTTTACCTGCTGCCTAGGATGTTTCTGTGGAAAATGCTGTCTGAAAGCTATGCCCCACTGTCATATGGCCTCTTACAGATTGCAGGCAACTACCATTGATTAAAGCAGCATGCTGGCTGTTATATCCTGCCTAGAGATCAGTGGTGCAGATCTGCTCTGAGAATCAAGTATCATCTTCATTAATGATTTGGATGATGGGATTGAGTGCATGCTTAGCAAATTTGCTGATGACACCAAGTTGGGTAGAGGTGTGGACATTCTGGAGGGCAGAGCTAGGATCTAGAATGACCTGGATAGAGTGAAAAAATGGTCCACAATCAATCAGCTGAAATTCAACAAGAACAAGTGCAAAGTCCTACACTTGGGACAGAAAAAATGCATGAAGAAATTCTGAACAGGGAATTACTGGATGGGCTGCAGTACTGCAGATAAAGACCTGGGGGTTGCCTTAGACCATAAACTGAATACGAGCCAACTGTGTGCTGTTGTTGCAAAATAAGGCAACAGTATTCTGGGCTGTATTAACAGGAGGTCACTTACAAATCAAAGAAAGTGATTATTCCACTTTATTCAGCACTACTGAGACCTCACCTGGAGTACTGTATCCAGTTTTGGCTGCCACACTTCAATAAAGCTATGGACAGATTGAAAAGAGTCAAGCACAGAACAACAAAAATGATTAGGGGTCTGGGAGTCAAGACTTACGAGGAAAAGATGAAAGAACTAGAGTTATTTAGACTGGAGAAGAGAAGACTGAGAATGGATTTGACAATAGTCTTCAAATATCTGAAGGGCAATTACAGAGAAGACTCTGTCCTGGCTGTAGGGAATTTTTTCCCTGGCTGTAGGGAACAGGATTAGGATCAATGGCCTCAAGATACAGTAGGGATAATTTAGGTCAGAGATTTGGAAAAACTTTCTGACTATGAGGGTGGTCAAGTATTGAGACAGGCTACATAGAGAAACTGTAGAATCTCCATTCTTGGAAGTTTGCAAGAGCAGGTTAGAAAGACACTTGGCTTGGTTGGGTTCATTAAGAATGATCCTGCCTTGAGTAGGCAGCTGGACTAGATGACCCTGTGAAGTCCCTTCCAGCCCTACTTTCCTATGATCCCATGATCCATACGCTCTCTCTCCCCAAGTACACTTCTACACTGAGTGAAAGCTCAGCAGAACAGAAAGCCTAAGCCTCAGTTTTTGACAGAATAAAATTTATTTTTCTGGTTAGTAGTTTTTATGTAATTGATGTACCCTTATTTTTTTTAATATTGAATGGCCTGATTTTTATAGTATGTCCTGATTTTTTTATAGCAAAAAGCTCCGCATTTGGTAAATGGCAGTATAATATATATTTTGATAAGGTAGAAACTATGATAGAAGACATTCTTGATCTCATTCTATATTTCTTTGAGTAATAAACTTATAATAATTTCCTTCTGCAGATACTCTCTGCATTCACAGACAAAGAACTAGCTGCATATGCAAAAGCGGGAGCTGTTGCTGAGGAAGTTCTGGCAGCAGTTAGGACTGTGATAGCTTTTGGAGGACAGAAAAAAGAAATTGAAAGGTCAGAAAAATGTTTCCCTTCAACAATTTGTTTTAAAATGCTTGCTTTGAAATTTCCTTGTATCTTCACAGTTAAAATTCTGCCTAAAGAAATAGATGGACAAAACTGCATCACTGTGTTGGGATAACAGTGGTAGGAAGTTGCCTGGTTAGGGTGCATTTTTTATCAGTTTCATTGTATAACGAATAATGATTCTTAATATTTTCAGGGCCTCAGTACAAGCAGAGTTAGAGTCTCTTACTCAAGAGAGTGAATAGTTATAAACAGATAAAAAGTAGCTTGGGGGAGAAATACATAAGAGTCACATTAATAAGGTTATAAAAACCACGACCTGTACACATCTTGATGTTTCCAGTCATTTGTTTATGTTTATTTTTATTGTACTTTGGAACAGCATTCCTGTCCTTTATCTAAAGATAACCATCACAACCACAAAATCTGGCAGAACCTCCCCAGGCATAGAGTTCAACAACCATTAGGCTGTTCACAGGCTAGTCCCTGACCTGGTGCACTCCTTTATGCATTAGCTGCCAGTTTTAGCAGACTATGACTGTTGGAAGAGTTGCAACAGGTCCCAGTGACTTATAACCCAGTTTACCTCGGTACTTCTCTTAGGGATATGATGATGCTATTTATTACTGTAGTATTATCAGTACTGTTTTCATTCCCTGAGTTTCTGAGCTTCTGGTACAGTGTGCTATGATACCACTCATTTTATTTCTGCCTTAATTGCAACTGTATAATACCTACAGAGGTGCTATGATCATATTTTAAAAATGTTTTGAGGTGTTTGGATACTTAGATGATAACATCATATGAGCACCTGAATAGATGTTAAAGACTGTTAATTAACTCTGATAATAGCGCCATCTGCATTTGAGTTACAGAATCTCTTGCTGTCTCCTTATACATGATGCTACCCAAGCAAACAAAAGAAAGATATGGAAAACTATCAGGAGTCAAAAAATAGTTGAATGATGGTATCTAAAGCTCCTCTTGTGTATACTTCCCTGCTGAAGTTCTAGACAGCAGTCATATCCTCTCTCATGTAGGCTACATAAGCCAAGTGATTTCAGTTGCCTCTTACAAAATAGGCAATTGAAATCCCATTTCTCCTATCATTTCAGTAGCCTGTTCCAGTTTGAATTAATGTTTCTTGAATGTGGATGACCAAAGTAAGGCCCCTGGCAGATGTTAATTTAGTAGCATGTTGGGGTCTGATATCAGATCCCAACAATTATGCATCCTGCCATGGCACATGGCCATGGTAGGTTGCAGGGTTCTGGGGATAGGGGAATCAGATCAAAATCACATGGTGCCAGCACAGCCAATGGGGATGTTTCAAGTTGCTAGTGCATATGAAACCTTGAATTGCTCCATGTGCACCAGCAAATTGAAACCTGGACATGGTACTGCTTAAGTGGAGCTTCTGGGTGCAGGTCCCTACAAGTGTCAGCTGGGGACAACCGATCAGAACCACATGCCCACCACTCCCACAAGCAGGGCTTCTGGACATGCAGTTTTGAAAATATCAAGCTGTTAGAGCTGATCAACAGCCCCCCACTTGACTTTTGTAGAACCTTGGGCAGACTTAGCCCAGTTTCCAGCCCAGCCTGGTCCCCAGCTGATTGTTCGCATTGTTGGCCAAGGATCTTCAGATCTCAAACCAGCTCAGGCTAACCCCGTTTCTCATGCCAACAATCAAAATGGCACGCCAGTTTTTAGCATCCGAACTGGGGCATGCTACAGGTTCAACTTAAGGCACCGTACAAGCTAGCCACAAAGATGTTCCACATTATATACATTAACTGTGGAACATCTTTGTAACTAGTTTGCTATTTGGTGATGACATAAGTTGATTGAAGTGCCATGCTGCCATTTTTGGTGCAATTAACACATTAAGCATGTCATAAGTATAATGTCTGGCAGGCTCTAGTACACCCTTGCTGTTACTGTAGACCTCACAGATCATTCAGTTTTTCTTGTATGTCTGATCCTCTTACACACTGATAATGCCTCTCAGCTTCATATCTTCGGGAAATGTCATTGGTACACTCTTTTTATGCTAAATTCTTAAATAAAAATATTAAATAAGACCAGTCTCAAGATCTCTCTCCAACTTGATATTTTCCTTTTCAGCATTGCCTATTGTTTTGTACCCTTTAGCCCTGTAACCTTGACACTTCTTATATTTACCCTCATCTCCAGTTTAAACAATAATTTCCCATGTTGTACTGTATCAAATGATTTACTGAAATTCAAATACAGTTGATCTCCTATCTCTTTCTTGTCCTATCAGGACAGGACAAAGAAAGACAAATAGGTTCACCTGATATGGTGTACCATAGTAAATCCAAGCTGTATTTTATCCTATTTTTTATTTACTTCCAGATCTTTAATTATTTCTGTCTTCAAGATTTATTCCAAAATCTTGTATACTGTTGTGTTCAGACTGGTAGGCCTATGGTTGCTTAAATTTTTCCCTTTTTTAATATAGGAATTATATTTGACAATCTGCAGTTATGTGACACTAATAGTAACTTGATAGATTTATTTAAAACCCATTCTATGAAAGTTGCTATTTCATATGCCTTTTTATTTAGTATTCTAGAATGGAGATTACATATGTCCACAATTTGAGTTCATTAAACTCTGTGAGTTTTGCTTGTACCTTGTATGTAGTAATTTTTTTCTATACCCTCATTCCCTTATGCCATATTGCTTTTGCTGTCATGTTCAAAATTGTCCTTATTGAAAATGGAGGCTATTTATTGAGGTCTGATTATCACTTCTTTAAATACTTTTTCTTACAGATATCATAAAAATTTAGAAGATGCTAAACATATTGGAATCAAGAAGGCTGTTACAGCCAACATTTCTATGGGTATTGTTTTCTTATTGATATATTCATCATATGCATTGGCTGTCTGGTATGGGACCACTTTGATACTATCTGATGATTATACCATTGGAAAAGTCTTTACAGTAAGTGTACATTTGTAACTCAACATTTTTAAATAAAAAACACTGATTACTATGGTATTTTGTGAAATTGTTTCTGTTTAAAATGAATGAACCAAAATATGGACTGAATTACAACCCTTGCAGCCCTGTTTAATAAGTCAATGGGGTTAAGTCCCTGCTGAACTCGATTAACTGAACCTCATTTTTTCATTCACATTAAGTAAAACGAATGTTATTTTTTAAATTTCAGTTGTGCTGGTGGATATGTCCTAAGACTGATAGTAACATAAAAATGTTTACATTTCTAAATTACCAGCTTTAATCCAGCACAGGTCAATGATGACCAAAAGTTGCTTCTAACCAGAAGTTGATGCTGTTTTCACTGGAGACAAGTAACCTTTTGCTATGTGATAAGGGATATAACCCTTTGTAGTTTTGCTCTATATATTGTGGGTGAAACCAGGACATAAAGACCAGTCTCCAACCAATATTTCTGTGTTTCCCACCCTCCATGCAACCCGTGTGTAATATGTTATTTGTTTCAGTTCAGTTAATAGAGGACAGGTATTCATTAGAATCATGGTTTTAATTGATTTTAGTTGGTTCTGTTCCTGGCAATATTAGTAGAAAGGCAAGAATTCAATGACCGTGCAGACCAAACTATCCTGGGCCAGCATGATGAAAATTTTACTTTTCTCTTGGTGATATAAATAGAATGTTTTAGAATCTGTTAGTGAAAGGTACCAGATTTCACAACAATTTAATTTACCAATAAAACTCTTCAATAACTTAATTTTTATTTAACTCCTAGCATCAAATTCCCCTTCCAGGGTCTATGTTGTTTCCATATTAAATCACATTCTAAATCAAGCCAAAGCCTATAGAAACATAGGTTTGAATGTAAGACTGCAAGGGACCACCTTAGGCATCAATCCAGTATTTCAGGAGACAACGACTTCATAGACTCCCTTTCATAAACTGATCAAGCTTTACCTTAAAGCCAGTTGTTGTTGTTGTTTTTTAACACCTGCTGTTTCTATGAGAGGCTATTCCAGACCCTCACTTTCATGATGAAAGCATTAATTTAATTTTCAGCCTAAATTTATTCATGAATGTTTTATAGCCATTTGTATTTGTACTAACATGGTCCCATAACTTAACTGGTTCTTATCTCTCACAAGTGTTAATCCTGATCATGTAGTTATAGGGAGCTATCATATCTCCCCCCAGCCTTCATTTTGCTAGGATAAATAAGCCAATCCCTTACAGACTGAGATGTATTTAGGGTCAAGTGAAGCAGCAGCAAGTTGAGCATGAGACCCTGTTTACTGTAGATGAAACCAGGGACAGCAGCACAGCACAGCCAAAACTCAAAGGCTTCAAGAAAAGTATAGCTGAATCATGTATATTCTGTAGGTATCTTGGTTCTAGCTGCCCATTGGAATGAACTTGTAGACTCTCTATTTCTAAGGTTAGTACTGTGACACCAAAGATCGACTCCATCTCCTATTTTCACTTACTAAGATTTGCCTAGTAGAAAAGGGGATGTATAAAGGGATTTGATGCAGAGTACCTGGGAAAATAATTTTTCTGTTGTTTAAGCAGACAGTGGGCACATCTACATGTGCAATTAATGAAAGCAGTTCAGTTCAGGGCTGCACCTGCTATGGTCTGCCCTCCTCCAGCAGCCAGAGGGAGCTTCAGGCTCCCCTAGGTGCCAGCCTTGGATTGGCAAGGGGGTGGAGAGAACAGTTCCTGCTCCAGGGCAGCTCCTTCCCAGCCAAGCAGAGATTGGGGCCAGACCTAATCTTCTTGAGGCTGGGAGGGAGCTGCCCTGGAGTCAGAACAGCTCCCCCTGCCCTGTGGAGATTAGAGCTTAGCCAGGCAGCAGCTGTGGCCCCCTGCTGCCTTGGCTGACTGGGAGCAAATTGCTCCAGGTAAGGGTTGACACGTGTGCTTCAGCGCATTAGTTAATGTGCCATTTTTCTAGTACCTGTATGTACTGGTACTACCAAATGGCCCATTAGACTAATTTAATGTGCAGTAATTGGCTTGTACATAGTATAGATGGTATATACAAAAACTAGAACTCTTGGTTCCAAAATGATACCTTTTATTAGACTAACTGGAAATGGCAAGAAAATTGTCCTTTTCTGCAAACTTGAAGGATCAAAGTCTCTTCATCAGGCTCTGGGAAAAGTGTAGATGGTAGAAGATGGTAAAAAGTCCCCATAGGTAGGAAATAAACTTCATTTTTGCACAGAGGGAGCTGAAGATGGAAAGCTGTCTCTCTGGGTCCATGAGAGTGTCTTTGCAAGATGTGTTGAATAGCTCTTTGATGTGTTGACCAGGTAGAATTCCTTTCCTGGAGGTGGTGCCACTTTATAGTAGTATACATGGTGACCCTTTACTACACTTAGTTTAATGCTTAGTAAAGCATCTCATGATGACACACCCAGTAGGGTCAGTCTCTACATGAGATGCTAACTATGCAGTAGCCTAATAATACTCTACAGTAGCATGTCACAGCAAGGACAGTGTTAATACACTATTGCCCAGTATTGTTAAGTTAATGCACAGTAGCATCTCTAAAAAGGCATTCACTCACACTACTGTGCAATAACTCCAGTTACTGCACATTTATTTAGTACTTGATTATACAAGTACTAAATCAAATGCCCAGTAACCACTGCATATTAATGAATGTGTAGATGCTTCCAGTGAGGATTGGTAGAGTGGTAGTAATAGTGTCTAAGATATAGGTCTCCCTTTTACAGTATCAATCTAATGCAAAATTCTGGCAATTTCCATATCAGCTTTTTCAGCATTAAAATCTCTTAATGTGGTCTCATCTTTTCATGATGCAGAAACTCTCCTTGGTTCTAATAAGGAAGCATACAATAGATTTTGAGTCGTGCAATACAACCATTTTTTTGTCTTGGAGTCTTAGGTGCTGTTACAAGTTACCTTAAAAATAATTTAAATCTGTGGAATGTTAAGCCATCATAAAATTTGAACAGTTTCAGAGCAGTCACAGGTTAAGGCTTAATGTTTTCTCAGACCTGGAAAACTGTGACTTGCCACAAGAGGGCCAGATTGTCCGCAAGGGTTTCCTTAAGTGTATGGAGGT